ATTCCTGCTTAGTCTCAGTTTAGTTCAATAACCTGTATTTTACAGTCTCAGGGAGCAACAGCATGACTCTCCACAGCTAGTTATAACGCAGCATGATACTGTACTCAGTACGTCCTGATATGAAAAGTATAAGACCAGGAGATTTGTGTTTTTATGACTCTGTCACAGGCTTGTTGAGTTGCCTTTTTTCTTACCAGTAAAATGAGTCTAGGCACTCCCTATTCCTTTTTGGAAATGTTTGAGATGTGCCACTGAAAATTGTTAGAGTTTGTGCAGGTCATGAATCATTCCAGCATCCTTTGTCATTATGCACTAGACTCATGTGATTTTGTCACTGCATTTTTAGAAATCTGCTTTAAATGGAAAAAAATGTAATTCCCTACAAATGATGGCTTTGGATCTGCTCTGAACTTGAAATCTCTTCTTGTGATGTCAGACTAGCATGACCTTGTGCCAGTTTAGAAAATGCAGCTGATGCCCTTCTTAGCAGACAGGGTGGGGGTCAAGTTTATATGGCTGTAAGTTTTCAACTGCCTTCCTAGCATACATGGCTGGAGGCGTTTTGGGAGAACTAGACAGGGAGGTTTACCTTGTTGCTAGGTTTACTCCACAGGAAGTAATAAATAGTGTGTTGTGCCCCCATGTTGATCTGGCACAAGCAATTTAGTGCTCAGTTACCTGAAAATAATAAATCAGAGAATTGCAGAGTGCCTATTGTGCATCCACATTGACTTGGTCACTTCATTTTAGAAATCCCATAAAATGATCTGGATAACTAGTGTCAACATAATGCAGAGAGATTAAACCACAGAACAAAAGAAGAAATTGGAAAAGTACTGATGAAAAGTCAACAAATCTTTTTAGGTAATGCCTGTATTTAGCACATTTTCAAGCCTTAGAATTTGGCTTGCTTCTACCCTAGCAGAGTTTTTTGCCTTGATCTATCACAGACAATGCCGAGTATGTATCTCTTCCCAGTCAAAATATTAGTACCATGTCTGTCTGATAGGGAGGTTGCTTCTGCTCCTCTGTCTAGTTGTGGAATGGTAGCTGCCACATCTGACAGAGACTGCAGTTAGTGAGTGTTCCAGTTATTCACTTTGTCACCAGCTGGCTGACTAGGACAGGCAAGCATGATGCAGTGGAAGAGAAGGGAAGCCCCAGAACACCTCTGTAATACTTTTCAGTTGCACACCTGCACAATTCTAGCAGGGTAGAGCTGCCCAAGATCCCTCTAATCTGTTACCTTAGGTGGTGGAGGCTCAGCCAGCTGCAGCTCATCATGGACTAGCAGCCTTTATCCTGTTTCTCAGAGATGTGTTCAGCCTTTGCTGAGTTTTGTGCTGATACCATTGACTTTAGACAGATTCAACTGAGGCATATCCTGGAGTTACTGGGGGCAGAAAAGATTCAGTGACGTGTTTCCTGGTGACTATTGTGTGTCACTGTGTGTTTATTTGCTGCACGTCACTAAGGAGCAGACTTCAGAGTGATGAGTTAGCCTTTTTATTTGCTTTCATTGGTGAGGGACCTTAGTAATGCTTATTTTATTCCACTTTTGAGCTCAAACATGCAGGCATGGACCTTGAAAGCTGTTTGTGAATGAATCTGTGGTGTGAAATAGCTTTCATGGAGATTATTTATTTGCTTCTTCTCTCTGTCTCATAGCAACACTATTTATTGTACAATATTATTCACAGTGTTGGTATCCATATTCATAACTATAAACCCACAAATTCTGTGTATTGTATTTATATTAATTGCTTGCAGTGTGCATTTCTGTATCTTCACTGCTGTGCATGCTACAAGAACATGTCTAGGTGTCATGGGTGCTGTCATCCTGTGGACTCTGAAGTTAAATTCATCAAACCATTTGCAGCAGCAATATGTTTTGTGATTATAATATGAATCAAATGTATTTTGTGATTTTGCACATTTTCATATTAAGTACCCTTTTAATGTGTTTACAGTTGACTATATGGCACATAATTCTCTCTCTTTTTTTTTAAATAGGCAACACATTTCCAGCACTGGACAAATTTTTTATTTGTTTTTCAGTTTCTTCTTTCTTGCTTCTTGGGGTAAGGACACAAGGCAATCAAGTAAGATGCTTTAATGACAGTGTTTCAAATTGCAAATACCAAATATAAGAGTTACTAATAAGTTATGTTAAAATTAAAAGAAAACGTATTTTTTCCCCCAGGCTTCTCTTAATTATTTCTAATAGTGTAAATAACCCTTTCAGGATTGTCTGTGTGGTTGACCTCACAGTACAGTGGTCAACAGCATGTCATTTAACTTTTTAGTGTCCGTACTCAGTATTTCTCTGCTGGCTATCTCTTCTGGTTATCCAACTTCTTTGCAATTAACAGAATGTAAACCTTTTAGTATAGGAACTGCTTCAGTATGTATGTTATTTAAAGCACATTGAAAATTATGGAAAACTCAAAAATAATGAAATACTGGTTTGTTTCTGTTGGAACAGCAGAGTTCAAGGAAGAACAGAAGAATGAGGTGCATTCTGTTCTACTCTTTCACATGTCACCAACCAGAGGGTCAAACTAGCTTCTAATACTAACATTTAAGAAGCACAGAGAATAGGGATGACTCTGCTAGACCTCAAGCAGCACATTTTAAAATGTATTTTGAGTGCTCTGTGTGTTGTCCCAAAAGTGGGGTCATTTACCCGGTATGCAATACACCACTATACGTACAGAGCAGAGGTATTTTATTTAGTTCATTTTGCTCAAAGGTGGGTGCTACATGGTGATTCCACAAAGCCAGCACGCCAGCGTCCTGTATCACCAGCTATTTGTACACAAAGTTTTAATTATTTATTTTTCAAATTCATATGCATTGCCATTCACCTGTATGATTAGTTAAAATATCCTCTCTTACTGTGTAAATCAACATGCCTGCTCTGTCCAGTTTTTTAGCTGTTCACTTCCTTGTTCTTTTGAGGAGGTGGTATAATTGGGGTAGGTGGTTCATGAGTTGGTGGTCATGATCTCCCCCTGCTGCCTTTACCTTTCCCCCTGTTACTGCAGATTTTCGCTGACTTCATGTTTCTTTTGGCAGTTACCAAGCTCTCAGGGCCTTTTGGGCAGGATGTTTCCTTTTTATCAGTCTTTGCTGAGGTCCTTTTTGAAGGCCTAGTTGTTAGCTTTTCACAGTTCATTGATAAAACAAATGCTTCGCTATCTCTTAGCTCCTTCTTCTGTCCACCAGATCCTATTTCACAAGGCCACGGTAACTATTCTACTTCATTGTTTTGCTAATTTGAAAATTTCATTGCCTGTTGTATATCCCATGCACATCATTAATGTAAAATACAGATCCACAGAATTTATTTTAGGGTTTGGAACAGGTGGGACTGAAGATACCAGCAAACACTGATCCAGAAAATGTTGAACATTTCAAAGTGTTGCTAAATTTCTCAGCTCCCTGGGTGGAATTAATAAAATCTTCTGCTTTACTTTATTTAGGTTTCTGTTGATGTATTCTACTGTCCTATGCAGTCATTACAATTCTGCGCTGACGACAACGGTTGTTGGTGCCATCAAGGTGAGTTATGGAGCAGAAGAGGGAGCTGGAAATGTTCAAATGGACAGGGAAGAGCATTGACTTAGCAGTGATCCTGACTGTGCTTTGAGATGGAAACTCAAGATGAGCACTAACACTGAGGCACTGCTTGTGCCAAACAAGGTCACACCACAAAGTGACCTTGTCTTCTTCCATTGAAGCTCAGGTATACTTTTGAAAGCAATGTGACTATTGATTTATTTTTATTTTTTTCCTACAAAAGAAATTTGTACCAGTTTAATTAAAAAATGTACATTTAACCACATTTCATCAGATACTGTCCCCTGCTTCTGTTCTTTACCAGGTTACTGTGAGTTGGTCAGAGTGGCCTAGTGCAGATCCATTCATTGCAAACTGATACAGACTAATCCCTTTTCACTTTGGGCAGAACCAATTTCCATTGCAGCTAATACCTAGGGCATTCATAGATACAGAATAATGGCTGAGCTGTAGTAAGGAGTATATTCCTTGATGGTTAACTGCTTCAGCCTCTGTGTGATAACTTGTATCCTAGCTGAATGGACTATTGCATTTTGGTTTGTGTAAATTCTGATCAATTTGATAATGCCAAAACATGCATGTGTTAAAATCTGAACTTGATAGCCTTACAGTCTGTTTTCTCTAACACAGTTTAATTTAAAAGCAGTGCAGCTTCTTTTGTGTTGATGAGACCAGCATGTGTGAGCTGGGAACATCACTGACTCTCCAAGCACTTTTTTGTAAGCCAGTTCAGAGAGAAGCACAGAACTATTAGCTGAAAGAGTTTTAGCAAAAGTTAAAACTTGTGCAGTTGTGAACCAAACAACTATCAGAGTCTGAACTGACTTAGGCACAGAAATAATAGTCCTTAAGGTGCTCCTGTGGCTGGGTGACTAAGGAAAACAATCCCTCCAGCATAGCAAAATCCACAAAAGAAGGATGATACTTCTCTTTCTACAGTTGTTTTATTTTTTTTTTTTAAAGCTGGCAAGAATAATCTAGTGCTAGTTCTGAAAGATTTTTAATTTAAAAAAAAAAAGAGTCTGCATTGAACCATCAAGAAAATCAGGAAACAGCAACACTATTTCTATTTTCTGAGTAATAGTTGTCTGAGACATTTTGAAGAGCTTTAAAGTTGAGAAGCGCTTTATGATGCTTAGCCCCCGGTAGAAACTGGTAGAAGTGATGTCATTGTCTAGTCTAGCTGCTAAAACATTTTAAACCCACAAGGTGTTGGTAAAATAGTCGCACAGTTCTATAGCTTCCCTTCTGTGTGCAGGGGACTGTTCTCCCAAAGCTTGATGGGAGTGGGGTGAGAGGTATAATCTTTAAACTGTTGTGTGCCTTGAATTTGAGCCAAGTGCTTTCAATGCATCTTGAGTTGGCAAAGTAAGGAGGTGACCCTTTTAAAACAATAATAAAGAGCTTTTATTGTGACTTTAAAGCAGATTTTTATGCTTGAGGACCCAAAACCTGCTTTTATGAAATGGGATTTGAAGGGAACTTTCCAAAGAGTAAAAAGTACATTTTCAGAAGGTAGCCATAGCTCCATTTTGCCTAGTATCAAATAGCTGATTTTATATTTTTATTTTCTTTTTTCTTGTTTTTCAGAAAGTCACTCAGTGCACTAAATGAATCTAGAAAATATACTGATTTTATTCTTTTATTTCAGGGTTACAATACCCTGTAAGGTTGGAATCCCATGAAAGTAACTTAAATGCTGATTTTAGAATGGCCAGCAACAGACTATAGCTATTTCTGTAGAAAAGTAAATTAATGGCTGTCATTTATGTTGTTGGAGATAAAAACTGGCTTCAATAAATGCATGGGGTTTGTTTCCTTTCAGAATATATCCATTGCTTACATTGGAATGTTGATCGGTGGGGATTACATATTCTCTGTCTTGAACTTCATAGGGCTAAATATTTGGTGAGTGGAACTCGAAAAGCCTTTATTTGTTACAGCTGAAAATTTCTCAGTGAGGTACAGTTTTCTGTTTTGTTTGATTTGGCCAACTTCTGTGATGCAGTTTTGAAACTACTGGCCTGAGGAAGCACTGCCTGAGGACGTGAAGTTCATTACAATTAGTTGTGTCTTTTCATGCCTGTATTCAGATACTAAATCTTACTGTGGTAGGCTCTTAACTATGGAAACTGCAGTCTTATTATGTGGGTTTGAGTTAGTTCTCTTTTTTATGAGCAGCAGTTCTGAGCTGTGAGGCTTCCAAGTAAAAGCCAAGTGGAGTGGAAAGTGAGAACACTTGACTGCATGAGTTGTGCCCCTTGAATATGAGTTACAACTTGTGAGTTGTTACTTTTTGTGCTTGGATGAAGTGTTACATCTGCTTGTATGAGTCTGTTGGAGCAGTTGATGGTTGATCTTCACTTGAGGATAGTCTCTCAAATGACTTACATAGCTCTGAGGCACTCCTGATTTATGCTAGCTGGCATGCTGTAATCCTTTGGAAGGCAAGGTACTTACCTATATAATGGTGCATACAACATCGGGTATCTCTGACACCTCTGTTCATTCTCTTTTCTTTAGTATGGCAGGAGGACTAAGATACTCATTTTTAACCTTAAGAGGAAACAGCAAATCTACACAAGCCAGGGATGAAGAGAATGCACTTCCTCAGTCAAAGAGTTAGCCAAAATGCTTGCCTCGAAAGAGACTGAAGATTCAAGTTTGTTCAGCATTCCTAAGAACTTAAATTATATGCAGGAAGATATCTGGAACAAGAAGAAAAAAGTCTACCTCAATTGCCACAGATGTGCACACAATTCATTGGTTCAACGTCTTCTTGCACACCATGTTTTTTACATGTGGACAAGCTTAATTTTAGCTTTTTTTTTTTTATATACCACAGGCTGATTTATAGGAAGAAATGCCATGACCAAATCTTGAGTTGTAATCCTCATTTACCTGTACTTTGGTGCTGCTTGTACTCAAGAAGATCTGTGAGTTCTGTTTCAGTGTCTGCCAGTACTCTCTGAGGCAAAACTCCTTGTAAAGATCACGCAGCTCGATTCACCGTTGCTGTATGCAATCCTTAATACCAGAGAAGAGATGAAAGATGTTAGTGATTCGGAATGATTTCTTGCAGGGATTGGCTCTTGTGTAAGTGTTACAGTGTGTATGGGACAAAGAGATGTGCCCCCAGATTGTTCCCTGCGTGATGATTAAAGAATTCAGGATATGTTTGGTATACGTTGTGTAGACATTCTCTCTCAATCTTTTCCTCATCCTCAACGTTACGGTGTTCTGCTGCAATTGTCACTCTTTTTATAAGTGAACCCTCATAACTTTGCTGCAGGATCAAGGAGAGAAGGGAGATAGGGGAATTTTTTAATATTTAAAAAGATTTTTTTGTGTGTGTGTGAGCCAGCAGATGATTAGAAGAGAGATAACAAAGGTAAATCTCTTTTTGTTTAGGTACATTGGTCTTTCTATATCATTTTCCCCTCCTCTGATGTTTAATCTGTAACTGGCTTTTAATACTGCAGAGAAGTGATTCTACTGTCTACAAACTGCAAAAGGAAAAACTGCTTGATGTATCATAACAGTCTCAGGAGTTTGCTGCAGCAGGCAAGGCTGGTCCAGTGGTTAAAAAAAGCGGTCCAGGATGTGGTGGTCTGGGTTATGGTCTGGTATACTAATTGCACCGCTCTTTGTCTTTGTTCTCTGAAAATACAGTTGGTAATGCTTGCATGTGTCTCTGAGGAGATAGCATTATCTTTGAAAAACATGGTAGAAGCATCGTGGCGCTGGAGGACAGCAAAGTACTTAATCTTGTTGAGTTCTCAATTCCCTGCAAACACAAGCCAAGATTGTTTTTTGGCAATCAAAAGAAGATTTTGTAAGACCTTTACATGGAGCCAGGGTGGTCTAATAACTTGTCTGATTCCTACTTGAGTTAAATAAAATACAGCTAAGTATGAAAAGCATTGCTCTGTGTGTTAACACGTGAATGACCAGACTGGATGAGATCTAAGAAACACACGAATAGCTGGCAGCAGAAGCTTCAAGGAGTGACCTGGGCTGCCCACTGCCTACATGTGTTTGAATGGGAAGAGGAACAGTGACTACAGATACTAGAGGTGGAATTTAAGGGCACAGTCAAAATGGAAACCGAAGTCTGAGCTGTCCAGTTTCTCAAGCTGGCTAAGAGATGGGACTTTAATTTTCTATCTGTTGCAGAACCAGAGTGGACAAGGGTTGCTCTAAATATTACAGAGAGACCTTCTGTTTTTAAAGATTTCCCTTTATGCCTAAAAAGCCTTCAATATTTTGGAGTATGTTCTTTTACAGGACTCCTCTTCCTCCAGGTCTTCTCTACCTCCAGAATACTAATTATTGAACCTCAACTCTCTGCAGTGGGACAATGCATTGGAAGCTTTTCATTAATTATGAGAAGATTATGAGACCCTTTTGATTGCAATACTGATGGACACACAGTGGCATCTGCCAAATAAGATGTAGTTTCCACAAAGGAAAAGCTACTGTATGCATTTAATTAATTAATTTTGTATTGTACCTTTTATTAAAGAGATACAAATCACAGTTTTAACAAGTTTTTCAGTTTTTTTTTTTGTGTGAATGGACATGTAAAATACTGTGAAGCATACATGCATGGCACAAATGTTTGCTTTCTATGCAATCAACTGCTTTAGTGTACTTGAAATAGTTTCATTAGTTCATTCTGTACTGCAGTAGAAGTAATTTTATTTAGTTCATTGTTCATTTCATGTTTTTGAAATGCTTTAGACTTAGACTTCTCACCTAAAATATGGACCAGATTCTCACAGTCTTTGTGATAGCACTACTCAGAATCACTTAAAAATAAATTAAGGAATAGCAAAAACCAGGTATTGTCTAGAGGAACTTTCAAGTGCTTGCATCCTTTCACAAAGCAGCTCAAGTCACTACTTTCCTCTGTGTCTGCAGAGATAATGCTGATTCCAGTAAATTTGCTTGTTGAATTTCTGGGAATATGGGCTCAACTGGGCACAAATATCATCTTAGAATTTAAGCAATTACAGAAATAGCTGTTTTGTTCAGAACCTTCGTAATTGTGTCTTTCAGTTAATAAGGTCTAATTTAAAACTTGTTTCTCTTAGGATACACTTGTAGATAGTCCTAAAGACTTACTTCTGTAGAGATTTCATTTTAGCCTAATTAAGTACTAAAACAGTTGTAAAACTAGATGACTTATGTGCTATCTGAAGTTTCATTTTCTTTTGGAAAAATTGTATAAATGGTTAGACAAAACATTAGTCTTCAGAATACATATTTAAAAGAATTAGTAAATGGGCTAGTTTTAAGAAATGCTGTATTCACTTTGGAAAGTCACATTTCCTCCCAGAAATGTGTTGTGGTTACATGCTGCTAGCTACAAAACTTCATAAGTCAGCCCAATATTTTAAAAGCTTTTAAAGTTCTACAGGTGGCAAGGCATGTTTACAAGGGAACATCAAATAAACTTAAAAATGGTAGCTGGACTGGAAAGAGGTATTGTACTGTACACTGATCTGTTCATACTCTTTAATTCTTGGAGATTGCTTAGCAGTGGACTAGCTGTAAGAGGAGACTGAGGAAGTTCAGTGGTCACCCAAAGAGGCTTCCTGCTCATGCAACGTGTAAACGTCTTGCAGTGATTACTGTGAACAGCGGAGAAGCAGTACCTTGAGGGAAAAAACTTAGACTGGGCTGGATGAACGATTATTCACATTTTAGAAGAATTAGAATAGAAGAAGCAGAATTTATTATTTTTCCTCTCAGTATCTTGGTCTGTTTTACAAATATTAGGCACATGAAGTAGTGTAGGCATGTCTCAGACTCATTACCAGCCTCTGGAAAAGAAAATGGCAAGGGATCATGGCCAGAGGTGGATGTGCCAAGAAGCAGAGTAGCAACTATGGAAGTTTGCACTTTGACTCCATTATCAATAGATTGTTTTCGTTATAAATTTAAAATTTAATTTCCCCTCCTCCCATTTTTATTCAGCATTGTTACATATGAAAAACACTGTGCAACTTGTGAAAGTTTAAAGTACTGCTTAAATAGTGAGAGGGATTTTGTAAATTTTTTTGGAAATGTTAATATTTAGACCTTTTTTTTTTGACAGGCGAGGGGAAATTTAAGAGGTTATGTGTGAGGAAACTGGGTTGTTAAGCCAAGAAGGTATTGATTTTTACATCTTCATGTTACAAACAAGTCAGTGTCACATTTCTTGTGATTCAGACATTTTTTACTCTAATACATCTGCATATTGTGGTTTTCTGGCTGAAGGTGTCATTAATGCAACACTTGACCTACACTGATGTTTTTCAGTTGGAGATTTCTAGGTGTCAGATGTAGAGAGACTTGTTAAATGTGGAAAGATACCACTAAACTCTATAAACAAATTTTATTATACTTTACCCTAAATGCACATGTAACTGTCAGTGTTTCTCTTCTCCAGTTTAAGCTGATCTTTGAAAAACTGATGTTTCAAATTGCCACTGCAAAGAAGAGTGAAGGTTGTTTCCCTGAGAAATTCCATGTTAACTTTTAAATAAGTCACTTGAAGTCTGAATTTCATTGATTTAATCTCTGTTGTGCAGTAAGATACCGTTCTTGGAAGCATTTTTTCCCCTTGAGGTTTTGCTACATGTCCTCAATTTTAATACTAGTTTAAACATACTTTGTTCAGAAATGCTGCAAGTCCCATTCCCTTGTTAACAGATTATCTGTTCTTGCTGTAGCTGCACAATTTATAAAATAGGCTTAATGACACTAGCAGCTTTTCAGAAATCTCTGTGAAAAGTTATAAAATACTGTTTTCTCTGTATAGAAAAAATCAGGTGAATTTAGCAACCTTTTATTATTTTGTCTCTGAATTGGTAGATAAATTTGTTTTTCTGGTTTCAGTGTAAACTTGCCCGGGAACTCTCTGGGTTAGAGTTTAACTCTTTGCTGTAAGAAGCAGTGTTGATGTGTGTTATCCCTCAAGGTTTGGAGTATTCTTATCTGGGGTTTTGGTTTAGACCCGTCTTTAGTCTCTATGAATCCTAAACAATTAACAATAAAAATATTTTTTTTTTCTTTTTGTTCTTGGGTAGTTCCCAGAAAAGGAGTGAAACATTGCATATAAAGCAAACATTAAGAATCATTGCTTAGTCTGGATTTTTTTTCAGTAGTTTAGAAGTCTGGGTGTAATGTAGAGATGTTACTTTAAAAACTGAACGTTCCTTGGAAAAAGAAAACCATGTGATTTGATTAGACCTCTCATTTCTCTGCTGTGCTCAGAGACCAGCAGTGTGCTGGAAAGAGGCGTTTCCCAGCGTGAGAGCTACTGATTCACACTAGCTTACTGCCTTGGCTCACAATGGAATCGTTCCAGCATCAGCTGTTCACCCTTACTGGGTGCCTGATCTGTTTCTGTTTTCTGGTAAAGTGCATGAGATTTATGAAATATGTTTTCCCACATATCTGGAGTTCGTTGCCTCAGACCTTCTTTCCGTCTCTGGGAGAATGGGCAGGTAAAGGAAACTTCTTTGCCTTCGTCTTCTTGTAATTTGACTGCTGGATTGTTACATTGCTAATCGGGAGTGTTTTTCTTTGCATTTCCTTACACTGTCCCTCAGGAACAAATCACAGTTTCCACTA